GACCAGTGTAAAAAAGCAGCACCTGAAATTAGAGGCTTTTGGGCTAAAATCCTCCAATACTGTTGAGTTAAACTGTTTGCATACTCTGGCCTGCATGGCTGGGAGAATCCTCAAGGCAACAAAGATGCATCTGGTGACCACAGGTGACCACATGTTCCTCTGTGGCTGGAAAGAGCCCAGCTAAGTGAAAAGAAGCAGCTCAAAGCACTGATCAAGTGGTTCTGTTTGATTTTTCTGTCAGCTGTGTTAGTAAGTTACCAGCCCTTTGTTAGCTATTACTCCCCTCAGCAGCAGGAAATGTATACCCATGTGTCATACCAAATAACACCTCAGCTTCATGAGGATGGTGGCACTCTGCTCAGATTTTAGACTTGCACCAAAATACCTGAGCTGGAAGCATATATTTCCTTCTGCTGGACCCACTGTGGGGGAAGCAACAGGCAGACTTAGATAGCACATCTAACTGGTGAGCTATTTCCTAACTGAACCTCAGGTAAAAATAGCAAAGTTGGCAAAGCACCTTCCATGCAGAACCCACAGCATGGCATAGTGTTTAGAATAGTCTATTTGGCATTGAAATCGGGTATTGCAGGAACAGTCTCAGTAAAGGCAGCGGTGGTTTAACTATTTTTTTTTTTTTCCAGAAACAGTCAACAGTAAAATACTGCTGATAACTGATCTTCTTCAGGCCTAGTTGTCTAAGGAGATGCAATGGGTACAGATCAAATGTTAGCAGTTTGTAATCAGAACACCTCTGGAAAAAACACCATTCTCCTCTCTTCCCTCTCCTCCAAAAGATCAATCATCCTCTACCATCAGCAAAAGCATGTGAGAAAAGCAGAAAGAGGGGAGACTGCCAGTATCAGATTCTCTAGAGGACCAAAAATTCAATTGCTGCAAGTTTGTTTTTGAGGCTCTGAGGTTTTTTGTTGTTTTTAGAAGCAGCAGCACAGACATGCTGAGGCACCAAGAAGTGGGAAAAATCAGCTGACACCTGAGCAAAGACAAAAGTTTCTTTGGCATTAAAATTGAACCACACTTCAATATGTGTTTTGTTAGTATGTTTCACCTTTGACATTTTTCCAATTATGCACCCAAAAGTTCTCCAATTATTTGTGGACAAAGCACCACAGAGACCAGAGCTTCACTGGTACAGCTTGGCCATAAAACGAAGTAGCTTTCTGATGTTCTGACATATAAAATTAGTGCAACTTGTAAATATACTTCATTTGTATTAATCTGCATAAAGTGAAGACAAATGGATTTCTTGCTTGCATGTCAATAGCAGTTAACATATTTCCCAGATGAAAAGATTTTAAACTCCTTCAGTATAGATTTGCACTTGCTGTGCAAACAGCTAAAATGTTTCTTAACAGTATTATTCAGGCTTCACAGTGTAAACCCCACTCCTTCCCACAGTTCAACAACTGCCTGTTCCTGGTATCTAGTGTGCCTCCTCCCCATCCCATCACAGTACTGCACAGGAAAAAAAGACAAGAGAATAAAAGGAAAGATCAGGCACAGGAAAGCAGTGTAACACTTAACAGCAAAACATCATAAAAGGTGCCAGACCCCAGAGTGCTCAAAGATGGAGCCTGTTTAAATTGAAAGAAAAAAAAGTAGTACTGCTAAGAAGAAGGGAGGAAAACAGCTGCTCAGAAGGGATAGAAGGCCATATGAAATTGGACAAAGTGAAACTTAATACAGCCTTTACTTTCTGCTCCTGAAAGCAGAACACCTGAAGAGGCTGACAGGCATCTTTAGAGGCTGCCACTTTGAGTTTCCTTGCTACTGGGAGAGAAAATTTGGATAGATTAATTTTATTCTTATTAAAAAAAAGATATTGCCATTAGAAATCAGGCACGACATTAGCATGACCATCCCCACACATTTTAAGCTGCCCACACTCCTCCTCCTTCTAGTGGTCTCAATATATCCTTCTGAACATGATATTCCTCCCATCACTTGGATATACTTGACAGCAGAGCAGCAAGAGGAACTGCTCACCTCTGCCACACCAGGCAGTTGCAAGTTCATGTGCTAGAAGCTAGAAGGAACTTTCAATCCAACTTCTATAGGTAAGTGCAGACGGCAATCACAGCTAAACAGAAACAGCAGTCTTTTCCTACATTTCACTTTATGGGGAAAACTTGAAAGTACTGAGGCAGGAAGAAGGAAAAAAAAAGTCTAGATGTCTTATTTCACTTAATGGACGTAATAGTTCAAGGTTTCCTAGATCTTCTGTGCAGCTTGTTTAGAAAATGGTAGAGCTGGCACTGGATTTGGTTCCAGTGTCCATTTCATTAGGGGGCTTTGTCCACCTCACTTTTAACAGCAGATGAGCTGCAGAACCCATCTGCAAGGGCTGCTGCAGTGGGGAGTTTTCCAGGAGTGAAAACTTCATAGCAATCACTGCACTGAAAGGAAAGCTGAGTAGACAGTGATAGCACATCCATACACAAAATTGTCGTGTCCCCCTCCTTTCCCCCACCCTCCTTCCTGTCCTTTCACCAGTCTACTACTGCCTGTCTTGACATTGCTCCCTGCTCCAACAGGCTGATAGGTTTTTTAAGGAATGTTTCCTACTAAATCTCCTAATGGAGGGTAGGAAAGAGGCACCAGAGGGACTATGAAAGCCTAACCCAGCACTGAGGACCCCGCACACTTCTGCTGGCTTTTTTTTCCTGTTTTGATGAAGTCATGTGGCTTCTTGTAGTAATTACTTTGAAATAATTCTATATATTCAATAAAGTGTCCTAGTGGAAAATGGGACATAATGGTTATTATTCAGCATTTTGAAAATCTGAGACTGGAACAAGAAACAATCTGTGACTGTGAGCCGGAAGACAAACCTTTTGAGTCAGGATTGATAAACAATGGGAACACGGAAGAGCAGAACCAGACTTGGCAGATGCTGGATTCCTTTTGTGGACAAGTAAGTAAACAACCCTCAGAGCAACATCATTCACAAGCATCACCATGGAGAAAGGTGTATTGTTTGCTTGGAGGTGGATATTGCAATTACCTGAAGGCACCAGAAAAAATGTTCCAAAGGAGAGCACATATGGGAAGCAGGTTTGTGTGTCCCTTTCCCACACCAGTTGTTAAGTTACAGGCACATGGTCCTTCAGCCAGGAGCTGCACCTTCCCGTGACACACTCAGCTTGGCTTATTGTTAACAAATCTCTATAGAGCTTTTGTTAGTGCTACCCTTCTGCTTTCACATTGAATACCATTTTAAAGAACAACTATTAAAAGATGTGAAGTATCTTTTGTTTCCTTTAAATAAGCTTCTATAGTTTCACCAGCCTCTGCAGCATCCAGTAGTGTCTGAATTTTTCAGAAGGAGATGCAGATAA